AAAAAAAAAAAAAAAAAAAAAAAAAAAAAAAAAAAAAAAAGAGAGAAAGAGAGATAAAGGAAATCGAGGCAATTACGCCAGCGAAATCGAGACACACCTTGTACAGGCAAAACAACCATTAATAAACATCCATTTTCCGATCTGGGCTAGGCCCCGTGGTTTTTTCTCTCCTTATTTGGAGGGTTTCCACGTTAAAAAAGTACTTGTGTTATTTACTTAAGTTATAACTGTGGCGTTAACTCGCGTGTTTCATTGTGGCGTTAAATCGCGTGTTTCATTGTGGCGTTAAATCGCGTATTTCATTGTGGCGTTAAATCGCGTGTTTCATTGTGGCGTTAACTCGCGTGTTCTTTTGTGGCGTTAACTCGCGTGTTTCATTGTGGCGTTAACTCGCGTGTTCTTTTGTGGCGTTAACTCGCGTGTTTCATTGTGGCGTTAACTCGCGTGTTTCATTGTGGCGTTAAATCGCGTGTTTCATTGTGGCGTTAAATCGCGTATTTCATTGTGGCGTTAAATCGCGTGTTTCATTGTGGCGTTAACTCGCGTGTTCTTTTGTGGCGTTAACTCGCGTGTTTCATTGTGGCGTTAACTCGCGTGTTCTTTTGTGGCGTTAACTCGCGTGTTTCATTGTGGCGTTAAATCGCGTGTTTCATTGTGGCGTTAACTCGCGTGTTTCATTGTGGCGTTAAATCGCGTGTTTCATTGTGGCGTTAACTCGCGTGTTCTTTTGTGGCGTTAACTCGCGTGTTTCATTGTGGCGTTAACTCGCGTGTTCTTTTGTGGCGTTAACTCGCGTGTTTCATTGTGGCGTTAAATCGCGTGTTTCATTGTGGCGTTAACTCGCGTGTTTCATTGTGGCGTTAAATCGCGTGTTTCATTGTGGCGTTAAATCGCGTGTTCTTTTGTGGCGTTAACTCGCGTGTTTCATTGTGGCGTTAACTCGCGTGTTCTTTTGTGGCGTTAACTCGCGTGTTTCATCGTGGCGTTAACTCGCGTGTTCTTTTGTGGCGTTAACTCGCGTGTTTCATCGTGGCGTTAACTCGCGTGTTCTTTTGTGGCGTTAACTCGCGTGTTTCATTGTGGCGTTAAATCGCGTGTCCTTCTGTGGCGTTAAATCGCGTGTTTCATCGTGGCGTTAACTCGCGTGTTTCGTTGTGACATTAACTCGCGTATTCGAAAGCAAAATACTAAGATTGGGTACTGAGTTAAAATATAGGAATGGTACAAGATTGAACTAATGGATAAGCTTAAGGAATAAAACACCACTGAAGATCAGTGAGGATATTGACAGACTAAGTCTGAAGTCCAAAACAACAAAGACATAAAAGCGAATAAAGACGTTTCAAGCATATGGAAAAACGGAGAAATTGTTAAGGGTACATGACAAAAGGAAATAAAGAGAGTAATATTCAAGAAGTACATATTCAACGTACAAAACACAAAAAATGGTTAAGTCTTTTTGGTCTTCACTTCGGAACTGCTTCACTCCGATTCTCAGCATCCGGAGGGGGCGGCGCAACGAGGCTAGGCTGTGCCTCTTCGGAACCAACCACCGTCCCAAGGGCCCCGATGTCTCCAGCGAAGTCGGTAATAGCCCCTTGACGGGAGAATTCTTCAACGAGGCCTTGATAAACCGGCCTCCACCACTCTAAGTTGGGATCCTCATTTACATCCCCCTCAAAACCCGGAATCACGTCGTCGGGGAGGTCCTCTGCCAGTTCATTTTCCACCAACGGGAATTCGATGCCGGCACCGCCTAACCTCTTCCGAACAGCCGCAACCGCCGACGAAAAGAAGAAACGAGCTAAGCCTGAAGCTTCTCGAGTAAACGTGGTGGAACGCCACAATCGGTGAAAGAAGCGGCGAACAAACTCCTCGATGAAGCGAAGACCCTCAGGCGACCCCGGGAACAACCTTTGCCCCTCTTTCACCCCTTCGGTGAAATTGGTGGAGGCCTGTACTCCAGCTGCGAACAGCTCGTTGGAAAGCCCCTTAGCTTTCTCCTCCAAATTGGCATTATGGGATACAAGGGAGTCTTTTTCAGCCTCAAGGATTTTTTCTCTCTCTTTCAGCCTCTTCACTTCGGCAAACAGCCCCTCCTTCGAGGACTCCGACACTCCCAAACTCTCCTTCAAGCCCCGGACTTCCTTCCGGAGCTGCATCACCTCTTTCCTCTGATTATCATACGCCTCGCGTGAAACATCATCCCACCCCAGGGGACCCGAAAAGGCGATGGCGAATTGCTGCACTCACAAAGAGGTCAAATGGAGTTAATCTTAAATACAAGATGCTATGGCAAAAATTAATTCACAAGAACAGCGTGAAACAAACCTGTGTAATGTTATGAAGAAGCAACTCAAGTCGGTCGCCCTTACTCATTTGCCCGAAGTGGGCGACATCGGTGGGGAATGCCAAGGACCGGCACGCAGCAATAGCGTTTTCAGCATTCCGGCAGAGGTACAGTCCAAAGTCGGCCGATAAAGATGACCCAGCCGCCCCAAGGGCCAGCTCAGACCTCCGTTTCTTCGAAGCAGGTTCTTTCTCTACCACCTCTTCGGTCGAAGAAGGAGGCGGTGACGGGGCGAGAACTATCGCGGAGGATTGTTTAGAAGGTTCAGAGTCCTCAGTTCGCGAAGCAGGTCCACCACGGGCGCGAGGAGGAGCGGCGTTTTTCTTCGATGGCCTGGGCCTTAGAGCCCCTTCCTCCGAGGGTCTTTTCTCGGATTCAGCGATTAGAGGGCGCTGAAATTCAGACGCCTCGAACCCAGGTTCCGGATCGGAGGGACGGGTAGCCGGCTTGTCACCTCGGAACATCCTCTTCATCCTTAGATCTACGCACCAAAACAAACGGGCAAGGGAGATACGTGGGTGAGATACAAGACATACAAGTACATAACTAGCGAAACAATAAAAAACAAACCGACCGAAGTAAGACAACGAGTCGAGGTAAGAATTAGTGTTATAACCAAACCCACCTAAATCTTCCCGAGTTAGAGAATACGTGCCGTTGTCGTGAAAACGAAAGTGGCGAAGCATTGGCGGAAAGCTGGTGAGGCTATCAGGGACGCCGTGGCTCGGTTGAAAGTGGGATATCATTTTTAACAAACAATCGTCAACCGCCAAAGGTTTCCCCCTTTTCTTTTCAGGAAGGGTGGCGAGCCAAGGACACAAATAGGGCGTGTCGACAGGATTTCTGGCAAAGAAATAATGACCTTGCCACCCATCGGTGTTATTAGGTGGCATCAGAATCTTAAAACCCGGTCGAGCCGAGATAGAGACATGGAAAGGACTCGAATTCTTTAATACCATCACACTCCGGAAACGAGCTGGTGTGGGAATCACCCCCGACCAGGCGCACAGCATGCGGAATCCGGTCATGATTATTATGGCATGAGGGTGGAATTGGTTAAGGGACACGTTACATAATTGGGCAATCTCGGAAAACCAGGGCGAGATAGGAAAAGATAGACCGAAGTAGAATTGCTCCGAAAACCAAGTGCTAAAACCTAAAGGAGGGTTTAGAGGGCGATCATCTCGCGAAGGAAGAATCAATTCGACATCGGTAGGGAGGCCTATGTCGCGAACTAAGTTATTCAGATCTGTCTCGCTTAAAGTACTAGGTCCCCATTGGTCATCCAAATCTCGTCCTTCAGATAGGGAAGGAGAACCACTTCTCGCAGAAGACGAAACCTCTTTTCTGCCCCTCTTCTTGGGCCGTTCTAAGAGTTTGCCCGAGGGGGAGAAGTAGGGTCCCTCCTCCGACGAGGAAGAAATAGAAAAAGCGGGGTTTTCATCCCCCTCCCCGGAGGGCACTTTTTGGCCGAAAGGATCGGGAGAACGGGCAGACATTATCAATTCGAAGAGTTAAGGCGGAGGTAATAAGAGATGGGGGAAAGAAGTAGTACCTTTGTCGGGGTAGAAAATGGGCACGAAGGATAATATCTCTGTCTCGGAAAAGCAGGTTCGCCGGAGAAGAAGTAATAAGAGAAGAGAAAGCACAAGGGTGGAAAGAGAAAAAATCTTAAAAAAATGGCAAGGGCCAGGTATTTATAGAAGAAGGGAAAGGAGAAAACTCGATCGTGACCGTCTATTCGGATGGCCGAGATTCAAAGTAAGTCACCCCGAACCCGATGCAAGAGGCGCCGATCGAAATTCCTCAATAATGACCTAGGGAAAAGGGAAGGTCAATCATAACCGTTTCTTCGGGCGGCCAAGATTCAATGTAGGATGCCTCGAATCCGACGCTGAAAGCACTGATTGAAATTTTTCCATGATGACCTGGGGAACCCGAATCGACCACACGGGATGTCAGAGTAATTAAATGGAGGAAAAGTGGGAAGGTTGCGTGCACCAACCATACGTGAACCGAAGTCCGAGCTCGCACCTCGTACTCCGTATTTATAACACGAGGTGAGAAGGAGCATACTCGTATTATAAATAAGGAGTAGGGGGGAGTAGTTGATATGGGCTCGGTTGACAATTAACAAATAAGCATAAACCCATTAGGGTAAGCCCAATATGATAGGCCCATAATGAAGAACCCGTGATGACTTAGTTCGGTACTATGACCGAAGTCGTCGTATGACGCGAACCTCCGAACCTCGCGGGAGTACCTTCACTCGCCAGCCCAATACCAAAACGGGGTAAGGCGAGCCCAGGACAATATAGGCCCAAGATACATGACTTGGGGGAAAAGGGAAACCCTAAAAAAGGAAAGCCTTGGAAGCCAAGCTTTCCTCATCTATAAATAAGAGAATCAACATACGCACATACACGAAAAGATATACACTGATCACTGTTACATTGCATACACGTTTTTCCTCTATTCCGATCACTGACTTGATCGTCGGAGCTTTCCCGCCGGGAACCCCTCCCGGCGTTGCAGGTTTATTCACCCGGAGTACGGACGGAGCTAGCTTGAGGAAGACGAAGACCTACGGACTAAATCAATATATATATATATATATAGACATGGAGGGAGAGAAAATTTCACTACATTCTCCCAGCAAAGAAAACACACTATCACACCATCAAATCCACGCACAAGAGCTTCGGAAAATGGACCTAAAAAAATCCACCCTCAACCAGGCCGAGGTTTCACTATTACTGGCAAAACACGTTATCACCGCCCATGCGAAAGACGCCAACGTCGTAATCTCGCCGCTGTCGATTCAGGTTTTGTTGGGCATGATTGCCAACGGGTCGAATGGCCCGACCCGAGACCAGCTACTGGGCTTTCTCAAGTCCAAGTCCACCCAAGAACTCAACTTGCTCTCGTCTGAGGTGTTGACTAGGGTTTTTGCTGATGGTGAGCCGCTTGGTGGGCCCCGTTTGTCCCTAGCCAACAGCGTTTGGGTTGATCGAAGTCTGACACTGAAGCCCGCCTTCAGAGATATTGTCCACAACATTTACGTGGCTGCTTCCGATCATGTTGATTTTCAGACTAAGGTTAGTTTCTGTGCGGATTGGTAGTTTATTTATGTAGCGTATTTGTAAGCATGTTACGGTACTAAACTAAATTGTACAAGAGGTTCAATAACCACTCACTAAGCACACATACTACGTACACACATGGGTGTGTGTAACTATGCGCGGATCGACGATAAAAAATTACCAAGTGTAGCAAGTAATATAATAACCTTATTTTTATTCTGAGACACTGCAAAAAAAATCTTTTGAGCGACAATACTTATTTTTCTCACAGTTAGACAAATAGTGTTGTCACTATGTTTGTCACTAATGAGGTGTCACTAATGCTCTATAGCAATGTTTTGAAAACCGGACCAGACATCGACCCGGCCAAGTTACTGGGTCACGGTTGGACCGGTCCGACCGGGGTCCAACCGGGTTTTTAAAAAAAAATTATCTAATTATTTTATTAATTAAATAACTTAAATATAATATATTTATATGTTTTTTTATATTTTTTTTCCACTTAAGACTAATTACTCCACTTTTTGGCTTTTTAATAAAAAAAGATTTTTTTTCTTCTTATTACTCTTCTCTCTCTCCCCTCTCTCTTCTCTCTCCTCTCTCTTCTTTCTTCTTTCTTCTTTCTTTCTTCTTCCGTCTGCTTCTTCCTCTTCACGGTTCACGCAGGTCTCCCAACATATGCCCTCTCTTCTTCCCTTCCTTTTTCTCCCTCTATTTTTTCTTTCTTCTCTCATTTTTCACACATACATAGATTTTTATCCACTTTTTTCTTTTTATTATTTTTTTCTTTATTTTCATTTTCACCTCCTCCTTTTTTTTTTTTTTTTTTTCCTTCAGTCACATTACATATGACCCAAATCCGATTAGATCCGTTCACCCACAGCCTTTTCCGGCAAGATCCAGTCACCGACGACCACCATCGACGCAGATCCGGCAATAAATTTTTTTTAAGCTAAAACCCGGTTCTTGAACCGGTTTCCGGGTTTCCCGGTTCTTACCGGTCGAACCCGGTTTTTGGTAGTTGACCCGGGTTTTTGGCCATTTTGGGTTTTCACTGATAACCGGACCGGACATGGCAGCGGTTCGCGGTTAAACCGGTCGGACCGGCCGGTCCGGTCCGGTTTTCAAAACATTGGCAAATACTGTATTTTCGATCCTATTTTGTATAAATTTATAATTTTATGATGCGACAAATAAGTTTGGCGCATTTAAATTATATGAATACTTAAAAAGTTAAAAGTTGTAGCCACATATAAATAAATCTTTTAACTCATAATTTTCAAGTGTGCATATAAATAAATTTTAGGCAGTTGTAGCAACATCATTAATCAACATGTAAAACTCAACTCAAGTGAAAATGATCGAAAATGTTACGTTTGGAAAATTGATGCATGTAAAATTGAAATATGATAACTTAGAGAATTAAATCCCTAAACATATCCAACATATAGAAGTGAAAAATGTAACCCCATTAACTTGCATATAATTTTAAATTTTATGTACTTCCATCTAAAATAAAGAAGTTTTCAATAATTTATTTACAGCCTTTCAACTCTTAACATAATCTGTTTATTTAATTTCTCACCCCACCTTGCTCAGTTTTTCGAGTACATGCAAAAGTTTATTTAACAAAAAAAAAAAAAAAGAACTGAAAAAACAAAAACGCAAGCACGTTTAACGGGGGATTTGATGCTACACGTTGTGATACATACCGCAATGTTTTGAAAACCGGACCAGACATCGACCCGGCCAAGTTACTGGGTCACGGTTGGACCGGTCCGACCGGGGTCCAACCGGGTTTTTAAAAAAAAATTATCTAATTATTTTATTAATTAAATAACTTAAATATAATATATTTATATGTTTTTTTATATTTTTTTTCCACTTAAGACTAATTACTCCACTTTTTGGCTTTTTAATAAAAAAAGATTTTTTTTCTTCTTATTACTCTTCTCTCTCTCCCCTCTCTCTTCTCTCTCCTCTCTCTTCTTTCTTCTTTCTTCTTTCTTTCTTCTTCCGTCTGCTTCTTCCTCTTCACGGTTCACGCAGGTCTCCCAACATATGCCCTCTCTTCTTCCCTTCCTTTTTCTCCCTCTATTTTTTCTTTCTTCTCTCATTTTTCACACATACATAGATTTTTATCCACTTTTTTCTTTTTATTATTTTTTTCTTTATTTTCATTTTCACCTCCTCCTTTTTTTTTTTTTTTTTTTCCTTCAGTCACATTACATATGACCCAAATCCGATTAGATCCGTTCACCCACAGCCTTTTCCGGCAAGATCCAGTCACCGACGACCACCATCGACGCAGATCCGGCAATAAATTTTTTTTAAGCTAAAACCCGGTTCTTGAACCGGTTTCCGGGTTTCCCGGTTCTTACCGGTCGAACCCGGTTTTTGGTAGTTGACCCGGGTTTTTGGCCATTTTGGGTTTTCACTGATAACCGGACCGGACATGGCAGCGGTTCGCGGTTAAACCGGTCGGACCGGCCGGTCCGGTCCGGTTTTCAAAACATTGACATACCGGGTGCATTTTAACCCTTGATATGCACAAAATCACATACACATCCATATGTATGTGTGATCAGTGACAGTTATTTAACCTTATCAACGGTTAAAAACCATTCGGTTTATCTATCCCGGTGTAGCATCTAAACCCCCCACGTTGAACTAAGCTAGCGGATTAAGTAACTGGCCGATGAAGAGAACAACCGCACTCACATCTTCTCTAATAACAAATAGGAAAGGATGATCAGCCACAAAATCCAACTCAACCTCATAATAGCCACCACCGCGCACATGTGAAACGGCTGCAGCTTCGGTGCCTTTCTCATTCACTTCGATAAACGCTTTCTGGAACATTCCAGAAACAAAGAGGCTCTCCCCATCAATACTCGAGCCCACCATCTCCGTGAGACCACCCCGACAAAAAGGAAGCACCACCAGTGGCGTATCTAGTGTGGTCCAAGGGTGTGCTACTGCACACCCTTGATTTAAAAAAAAAATTATTTCCCATATATATTAGTAATATATAACTGTAAATGTAAAACTTTGGCCAACGCAATGCTGTAGCTGAACTGGTTAAGTGCTCTATAGAATTCTCCAGAGGTACAGGGTTCGACACCTAACTGAGAATCTGAACCATTTTTTCTTTTTTTATTCCTAATTTTCCATTGCATACAATATTTCAATTGTTTTAAAAAATGTTGAATATGTGGGTATTTTTTAATATTTAAAAAAAAATCTCCTAATATAACATATATTTTGCTATTTGTAACTTTAATTTATTTACCATTTCTTTAATATTGAATATAATATAAATTATTCCAAAATTCAATATTTCAATTGTATTAAAAAATGTTGAATATGTAGGTATTTTTTAATATTAAAAAAAATCTCCTAACATAACATATATTTTGCTATTTGTAACTTTAATTTATTTACCATTTCTTTAATATTAAATATAATATAAATTATTCCAAAATTCTAAATATTGTATATATATGTGTATTATTTCAATTTTTTTTCTAAATTTACAACTATGTGGGGTTTTTTTTTTTTTTTTTTTTCCTTTTGAAAATTCAAAATCTGCTAATGAAATGTACATTTTGTCACTTGCAACTTTAATAAGTTTACCACTCCTTTAATATTTTCACCAATTTTATGTCTAAATATTTCCTAAATTTGCCCAAAAATGGTAAAATAATCCCTTTAAATTTAAAAATTTTAAAGATTTTTTATTATTTAATGTGTACAGTATTCAAAAAAAAAAAAAAAATGGGGGCGCTGCCCCGAACCCCCGTAAACTATTAGCCAACCATTATATTTTTTTACTATATTTAAGTTCGAACACCCTTGGCAAAAAACCTGGATTCGCCACTGAGCACCACCCCAAGCCCCTTGAGAACATCGGAAACCTCAAATTGAAAATCTATTTTAAATTTTGGAACTCGGAATTTGCCAAGTAACACCAGACGATCTGGCTTGTGGGCTTCGATGAATCCCGGTTCAGAGCATACTTTTTCAAGCAAAGCTGGCAGTCCATCTTTGGCATCCGGAAGAAAGAAATACATTGAGAATCTACGACTATAATCTCCACCTTGTTTGTACTCTCGCCTCAAAACTTTAAAACCATCGAAAGCACGGGCGTATTGCATCTTCGTGCCGGTCATGAAGGGTACATGAATAGAGCTTCCATTTACGAGGAAAAACTCGCCATCGCTCGTCAGATATTCCATGAATATATCCTTCCAGGCTCCTTTAAAATACAATGCATTAGCGAAGATAAGAATAGTAGTAGCTTCGACTGAACCGGATGAGAGTAAATCTTTGATGAGGCCATTTGTTTCCTTTTCAGCCCACGTATTCACTTCTTTTACTACCTCATCAGCCTACAAAAACCGTCAATGTAGAACAAATACAATAATCACCATATAGCACTTGTAGAAAATATGCTTTTACTACGAAATTTGTTGCTACGGTAAAAAAAAAAACCGTAATAAAATGTACTTTTTACTACGGAACAATTTGAAGTCATAGTAAATACTAGGATTTACGTAGTAAAAAAGTATTTGGCACGGCCATTTACCGTAGCAAAGTTTTTGTCAAGCCCGTATATTCTACGGGGCACAATACGTAGCAAAAGACTTTTTACTACGAATTTAATAGCTTTCGCTCCGATAAATGGTCGTAGTTAAGTAAAAGCCTTTTTTGTATTAGTGTACGTAGATTGTTGAATGTGTATATATATATATATATATATATATATATATATATATATATATATATATATATATATATATATATGGTCGGACTTGATTTATAAATTTTCGGAAATTATAAAACTAATGTATAGGTGGATATATATGCTAAGAAATTAAAGTTTCATTGAATCAACGCTAATATCAAAATAAACATGCAACAGAAAACAAAAGCACATCTCGATTAATCGAAACGGCACCACAAAACCCTAAAAAGAAACAACAAACCCATGCATGCAGAAAACAAACCTTCTTAAAATCAACACGACCGGAAGCGGCCTTGTAAGAATTCCGGACAATTTCTTTCGAAGGCCGGCATGAAACGGAGACTCTGGTCAACCCAAACGCCGTTGGCCAACGACAAATGGGGCCCACGAAGCGGCTCTCCGTCAGCAAACACACGAGTCACGAGGTGTGAAGACAGCGAGTTGAGTTCTTCGATGGACTCTGACTTGAGAAATCCCAACAGCTGGTCTCGGGTCGGTCCGTTCGACCCGGCTGCAATCATGCCCAACAAAACATGAATCGACAGCGGCGAGAATACGACGTTGGCGTCTTTGGCGTGGGCTGAGATCACGTGCTTTGACAGTGACAGGGAAACCTCGGCCAGGTGGTTGAGGGTGGATTTTCGGAGGTCCATTTTTCTCAGCTCTTGTGCGTGGATTTGATGGTGTGATAGTGTGTGTTTTCTTATCTGGGAGATTAATGTAGTGAAATATTCTCTCTCTCTATATCTATATATATACTAAGTTAGAAGAATACTATACATGAATATGTAGAGTTGCATCTAGAAATTAATAAGTACATGAATATGGATAATCAACCGACTCATTACATTCCACTTGAGAATTTGTGAAATAATTCAGAGAGGCGGAGTGCATTTAAAAATATTAATTAATTGGTATAATTTAGAGAGTCGGTATTTGTCAACCAATCTATCATTGAGATCAAATAGGGTTACATCTGCTTATTGGTTGGATTTGAACCGTATATTTACACATAATCACACATTTCACCCGTGTAAATAATCAGGTATAGCATCTAACTTCCCACCAAAGACATGTGAGAAAAAAACAACTGATATTTTGAAGAGAACTCTTTTTCTTATAAAAGATGAATAAACTGATCAAATATAATTCTAAAGAAAATGTATTGTCATTAATTAATATATATAATTATATATATACACACACATTATAATGCATGAATGTATATACAATACCATTGTTCAATAGAACTATGCACAACACGCACAAATATATATATATATATATATATGAATGTGCGTACAGAGTTGGTAGTTATCATGGTGAAATTTATTATATCATGTTAACTAAGGGGTTTAATGGTGAAATTTATAAATGTCGGACACCTTTTAGTAAACGTCGGACACTTGGATACAATATCAAAATCCAACACCCTCTCCCCATCTCTGGGATTCTTTTACGTAACTTTTCGACAATATTATTCTATCAGAATACCACATCGTTAATCGTCAACAATATGAATTTATCGATTTTGGAGCATAAAATAAATAGATAATAAGTACAGAAAGAAATGTCTGACATGCTCCTCATTCAGGCGCATATACTATGTATCGAAAATTCTATTAATGCAAATTACTCATCAAGAGGATTAAGCAATTGTCCGACGAAGAGAACCACGCCGCTCACATCTTCTCTCACAACAAATAGGAAAGGATGATCGGCTACAAAATCAACCGTCGTCTCCCTTTCTTCCTCCATACACCAACCCATCCCCATTTCATCTTCGGTAACCGCTGCAGCTTCCGTGCCTTGCTCGTTCACTTCGATGAACGACTTGTGGAATATTTTCGATACATAAAGTACCTCCTCCACCATCTCCGACACACCACCGCCCCCGAAAAAAGGATGCACCACTCCAAGTCCGTTAACAAGTCCCGAGGCCTCAAAGCCGAAACCTATTTTGAATTTCGGGATTATAAAATTGCCGGCTTTGACTGCTTTATGTGGGATGTGGTTTTCGATGAATCTTGATTCGGAGCCGAATTTTTTGACCAAATCGGGCAGTCCGTCTTTGGCATCGGGGAGGAAGAAATACATTGAGAATTTACGGTTGTTGTCTTCAGCTTTTACGTACGGTAATCTCAAAACTTTAAATCCATCAAAAGCACGAATGAATTGGTAGCAGCCACCGCCGCACATGAATCGTGCTTTTACCGAGCTTCCACTTTGGAGGAAAAACTCAAAGTCTATAGTATCCCATTCGTCGAATTCTTCTTGCCAAGTTCCTTTAAAATACACAGCGTTCGCTAATATAAGCATAGCATCGGAACTAATCGAACCGGGTTGGAGTAAATCTTTGATGAGTCCATTTGTTTCCTTTTCGGCCCATGCATTCACTTCTTCTCTTACCTCTTCAGCCTTCAAAAATCGAAGACAAGGGTAAATCAAACAAACGTACTAATTAGCAAACCGAATTGTTGGTATTAGTATATCAACTCAAATTAAACTACAGTTAAACCTCTATAAAATAATATGATTAGGATTACCAAAATTCTATTAATTTAGTAGAATATAAAATTATCAAACTAACAATTTAACACGTAATCAAATTTGCAATAGGACATGTCTACTAATTATTCCAAAAAAAAAAAAATTACCTTATTCTGAAAATCAACATGATTAGAAACAGCCTTGTACGAATTATGCATAATTTCACGGAATGCGGGCTTCAAGCGGTTACTCTGTTCAACCCAAACGCCGTTAGCCAACGATAAACGGGGCCTACGGTGCCCTCCGTTACTTTTGGAGAAAACCCCAGTCACGATTTCCGACACGAGAAAATTGAGGTCTTCAATGGATTTGGACTTGAGAAACCCTAGTAACTCGTCCCGGGTCGGGCCGTCTGACCCGGCTGCAACCATAGAGAGAGCGATGTGGATCGACAGAGGAGAGAAGACTAGGTTTTTGTCTCTGGCATGGGTGGTGATCACGTGCTTCGCAAGTGACAGTGAAAAGTCGCTCTGGTTCTGGATGGATTGCTGGAGATCCATTTGTCTGGGTTTTCTTCTTTCCGGCGATATTCTCCGGCGTGGGTTTCCGGCGGCGGCAGCGGCGATTTCCTCTCCTTGTGCTGTTATTGGCGTTTTAATTATTGATTTTAGGTCTAGACTCCAATCCTTATATAGAGTTAAAAACTTTCAATAAATTCAATAATCCTATTCCTTTTTAAACTCGTTCAACAAATAGTGGACTACCGGTACACTATTTAGCTTTTTAACCTAACTAGTAATCTCATTAAATCATGGAATTAAAGACTAAGTTTGAACTTGTATTGCAGATATATATATAGCAAACAAAAATATATGCAACTTAAAAACATAAATTCAAATATAGTCAATCCTCAAAAACCAACTATACTAATAATACCAATACTACATAATCATAATTAAAGAAAAGAAAAAAGAAAAAAGAAAAAAAAAACCCATTAAAAGCAAAATCATAGGCAAAGTTTTTATCCCTAAAAATTTTAGGGTTTTCTCCAAAACATAATCCACTTTACTCATTTTATAAATCTTATATATAAAAGAAAGAAACGCTAGGGCAACCCTAAGAAACCCTAATGTCATATTTGTAAAAAAAAAGTTTATTATTTTCGATTTTTATCAAATTTATCTCCTAAATATTATTTTAAATATTATTTTCGAATTTTATCAGATATATCTTATATATAAAAGAAAGAAACGCTAGAGCAACTCAAGAAACCCTAATGTCATATTTGTAATTTTTTCTTATATATAAAAGAACGAAACGCTAGGGCAACCCTAAGAAATCCTAATGTCATATTTGTAATTTTTTATTTATTATTTTCGTTTTTTATCAAATTTATCTCCTAAATATTATTTTAGATTTTTATCTACAAAATATTATTTTTGATTTGTATCAGATGTTTATCTCCCAAATATTATATTCGATTTTTATCAAATTTTTATCTCATAAATATTATTTTAAATATTATTTTTGATTTGTATCAATTTGTTATCTCCTAAACATTATTTTAATTATTATTTTCGAATTTTATCAAATTTATATCTCCTAAATATAGTTTAAATATTATTTTGATTTTTAGCAGATTTTTATACTTTAAATATTATTTTCGATTTTTATCAAATATTTTTCTCCTAAATATTATTTTAAATATTATTTTCAAATTTTATCAAATTTATATCTCCTAAATATTATTTTAAATATTGTTTTCGAGTTTTATAAAAAAATTATCTCCTAAATATTATTTTTCAATTTTTATCAATTTTTTGTCTCATAAATATTATTTTCGATTTTGATCAAATTTTTATCTCCTAAATATTATTTTAACTAATATTTTTTATTTTTATCATATTTTTATCTCCTAAATATTATTTTAATTATTATTTTCGTATTTTATCAACTTTTATCTCATTAACATTATTTTAAATATTATTTTCGATTTTTATCAAATTTTTATCTCTTGAATATTAATTTAAATATTATTTTCAATTTTTATCAAATTTTTATTTTCGATTTTCATCAAATTTTTATCTCCTAAATATTATTTTCGATTTTTATCTCCTAAATATTATTTCAATTTTATCATTTTTTTTATGCCTGAACTTGCCAAATCACTCCTATTTTCAGCCATAGATATCTCTAATGCACAAACAATTAAATCTCCTAAATATTATTTTATCTCCTAATTTTCAGCCATAAACATCTGAACACTAAATATTATTTTTTGATGATAAAATACTAATTATCGTATTCCCAAAGATGGACGATTCCCAAAGACTTCCCTTAAGATTTTTAACACTTTTAACTTCTCTCTTCTACTTCAACACGTTTGTGTTTGCTCTTCTTATTTATATCCACCTCGATCCACAACATTTGAATTTTATTTCTTCATCCTACCTAAGGCTTCTTCTTTTGGTAACCCGACTTTAGAATTTTTTTTCTTATTTTCTTCTTCATCCTATTGAGTGTGTGGTAATTAGTTTGCATCTTTTTCCATCATGGCTTATAGGTAATTTATTTTTGTTAAATTATGTGTTTCATTAATTTATACCAAAGATTTCAAATTTTGTGTATAACAATTATTTCCTTTTTGATGTTATTGGACATGTTATAGAAAGGGATGATTGGAGAGAACTAAGCAAAAATGGGCGGAACCACAAGCTATTGGAAGTCGGCCTTCAAGACATATTGTTTGTATGGATATTTAATTTATTGTTTATATTTATTTTTGTTTCTAAATTTTCCAATATAATTGTTAATTCCAGTGACAAAACAGGACCAAAACGAGGCAGTGAAGAAGGGCTTAATTACGATGCAAGATGTATAGATGGCCTTTTACGTTGTCGATAGTTTAGTTTTGATTAGGTTAAGTAAGTTATTAAATCTAATTACTTTTAAACTCAACATGAAATACATAGTTGATGATTTTGTTTTTGGTTCAATTTTTCAATCTAATGGTATTAGTTGATTCAATTTATTTAGAAAATTATTCAACAATAAAATTATTTGTTTTTTTTTTTTTTTTTTGTGTAGTATACTTAGTAATGTTCCACTAATGAATTAGTAATGAATGATTATTATAACAATATTTTGATCATACGATACATCAAACGTTTGTTTATATTCTTACAATATCAAAACAATGTAATTTGTTGCCCCGTGCATCGCACGGGGACAATTATTAGTAAGACTAATACTTTGACTTGTGCGTTGTACGGTTGATTGTTTCCACAATTAAATAGCAAAATAGTTTAAATATATGACATGAAAAACGGATATAAGTATTAGAATGTTAAAATAAAAAATAAACTAAAAACAAAAAATATACGAACAGAAATTGAGGTAGACACAGATATCCTTAAGTGGACATAAATGAAATGGAATCCTCTTGTTGGATGGCCGGGGTTAATGGCAATCTTTGAATGAAGACTACACTTAAAAAAATCTAAAACCTTAAGTATTTTTTTCACTTCCAGTGGTGTTTTCATATTTTTGTAGATGTTAATTTCATACTTAGAATAAATTTATAAGCCCCAAATGTAATTTGTGAAATGATAATTCATTTTGGAATTTGTAAATTATATATAATTTATAGATACGGATAAGTAATTGACGATGTATATAAGTTAAACGTTATGATATTTTATTAAAATTATGGATGTACCCTTATATTTTTAAGATTTACGTGTTTCCCGGCCATGTTGTTGTATCCAACTTTTTGAAAATTGGAGTTTTCTCATATTTGTTTCCTCGTTCACCATGCACGCACGCGTTCTCTTATTCGTGCTACATAGCCATATGTACAGTGGTGTATCTAGTAGTGGGCAGAAAAAAAAATAAAATTTAAATATATGTTTTATACTGCGATAATTATGACAATCTTTCAACATAGGTTGGTAATTCAAGTGACAAGGGTGCTTTTTCTACACATCTTAAGTACGGGGTTCGATTCCCTTACCTTGCGATGTTATCCAAGATTGTAAAAGGCGGAAATCAGATCGAAGATTATTAATGGGATTACATTATAATTGATGATTTATCTCAAAATTTCGACGTCGCATACAATAACATAGACACAAAATGTTGTAACTTGAAAAGTAGGAAACATAACAAAATGTTGTAACTTGAAAAGTAGGAAACATAATATAGTAAATGTTTAGTAATTAAGGTTCGGAAATTTGAGCATAAACGTGTATCAAAATTCTATTTAAGAAAATACTATCAAATTTTGAGCATAAAAATTGACATGTATAATACTATTGATGCAAATTACTCATCAAGAGAGGGATTAAGTAATTGTCCGACGAAGAGAACCACGCCGCTCACATCTTCTCTCACAACAAATACGAAAGGATGATCGGCCACAAAATCAACCGTCTCCTCTTCTTCCCCCATACAACAACCCATGTCCATTTCAACTTCGGTAACCGCTGCAGCTTCCGTGCCTTGCTCGTTCACTTCGATGAACGACTTGTGGAAGATTCTCGAAACATAAAGTACCTCCTCCACCATCTCCGACACACCATCGCCCCCCAAAAAAGGATGCACCACTCCAAGTCCGTTAACAAGTCCCGAGGCCTCAAAACCGAAACCTATTTTGAATTTCGGGATTCTAAATTTGCCGGCTTTGACTGCATTATGTGGGATGTGGTTTTCGATGAATCTTGATTCGGAGCCAATTTTTTCGACCAAATCGGGCAGTCCGTCTTTGGCATCGGGGAGGAAGAAATACATTGAGAATTTACGGTTGTCTTTAGCTTTTACGTACGATAATCTCAAAACCTTAAATCCATCAAAAGCGCGAATGAATTGGTAGCTACCGCCGGCGCACATGAAGGGTGCTTTTATTGAGCTTCCACTTTGGAGGAAAAACTCCAAGTCTCTAGTAATCGATTCGTCGAATTCTTCTTCCCAAGTTCCTTTAAAATACACCGCGTTCGCTAATATAAGCATAGTACCGGGAGTAATCGAACCGGGTTGGAGTAAATCTTTGATGAGGCCATTCGTTTCCTTTTCGGCCCATGCATTCACTTCTTCTCTCACCTCTTCAGCCTACATAAATTATCGAGGGTAAATCAAACAAAACGTACGTACTAATTCGCAAACCAAATTGTTGTTATTAGTATATCAACTAAAATTAAACTACAGTTAAACCTCTATAAATTAATATTATTGGGACTAGCAAAATTCTATTAATTTAGTAGAATATAAAATTATCGAATTAATAATTTAACACGTTGTCACTAAGACGTAGTCAAATTCGCAATAGAACATGTCTACTAATTATTTTCCCAAATAAAAAAAAACTGACCTTATTCTCAAAATCAACGTGATTAGAAGCAGCCATGTAAGAATTATGCATAATTTCTCGAAAAGCGGGCTTCAAGCGGTTACTCTGTTCAACCCAAACGCCGTTAGCCAACGATAAACGGGGCCTACGGCGCCCTCCGTTACTTTTGGCGAAAACCCCGGTCACAATTTCCGACGAGAGAAAATTGAGGTCTTCAATGGATTTGGACTTGAGAAACCCTAGTAACTCGTCTCGGGTCGGGCCGTCCGACCCGGCTGCAACCATACTGAGAGCGATGTGGATCGACAGAGGAGAGAAGACTAGGTTTTTGTCTTTGGCGTGGATGGCGATCACGTGCTTCGCAAGTGACAGTGAAAAGTCGCTCTGGTTCTGGATGGATCGCTGGAGATCCATTTGTCTCGGTTTTCTTCTTTCCGGCGATTTTCTCCGGCGTGGGTTTCCGGCGGCGGCGGTGGCGATTTCCTCTCCTTATGCTGTTATTGGCGTTTTAATTATTGATTTTAGGTCTAGACTCCTATACTTATATAGAGTCAAAAACTTTCAATAAACTCAAGAATCCGATTCCTTTTTAAACTCGTCCAACAAATAGGAAACTTTTAAACGCACTATTTAAAATTTTAACCTAACTAGTAATCTACCGTGCGATTCACGGTGATTGTATTTTTGGAATATTTTATTTGATAATATTGTATAGTAAATACTAAAAAAATATGATCAATTAATGTGAATATTTATTTCCACGCGGGATGATAGGTCAGGCTTTTGTAACATTTATTTATCACTTATGTTTTCTATTAAATCTGAAAAAGCGAAATATTTATTGTATATAGATGAATTAAATTGGTTTAATTATATAGCATGCCTTTGTTTTACAAGGTGTAAATATATAGATATTCAAAGGATGCATATTTTTCCGAAATTACATACTATTGAATCATGGAATTAAAGACTAAGTTTGAACTTGTATTGCAGATATATGGGAAAATAAAATATGTGCAATTTAAATTATAAAATCAAACATAGGCAATCTGAAACCAACTATATTAATAATATCAATACTACATAATCATAATAAAAGAAAAAAAAAACCATTAAAAGCAAAATCATAGACAATTTTTTTATTCCTAAAAATTCTACAGTTTCTGCAAAACATAATCCACGTCACTCATTTTATAAATAAGACTAGTACCATGATCCGTGCGTTGTACGATGGATTGTTTTCACAATTAAATAGCAAAGTAGTTTAAATATATGACATGAAAAACGGACATATGCATGAGAATGTTAAAATAAAAAATAAACTAACAACAAAAAATATACGAACATAAATTGAGGTAGATACATATATCCTTGAGTGAACATAAATGAAAACTACACTTCAAAATATCTAAAATCTTATGTATCTTTTTCACTTCTAGTGGTGTTTTAATATTTTTTGTGTTGGAAATTTTGAGTATTTTACTCAAATTTTGTTGAATATTTAAGTGGTTTAATTTAAATTCTCAAAATTATTTTTGATGAATGATAAATTAATGGATCATTTAAAATATTTAAGTGTGGAAAATAATAAAGTGAAATGCCACCATTGAAAAAGATGGAGGTGTTTAAGCACCTATTAAATTGAATAGGTGTGTGGTTAAAGGGAAAAGGTGTGATACCTTTTCATGAAATTATTTTCCTAAGAGTTGTGACTTGTGGTCATAACCTTTGAAAATCTATAAATAGATTCCAAAATCCACCATTTGATTAGTTCATTATTCACATGGAATTCAATGCATTAATTGAATTCACTTCTCGTCATAACATATCATTGCATATTGTTGCATTACCAAGTCCTTTCTTCGTGTCTTATAAAATCCTAAACGTCGTTTCGTTCGCCGTGTTCCAATAATTGTTGTGCTGCTTTGTTGGAACTGAAATAGTCGTTGTATCTTGGGAGACAATTGCCGTAACCGAGAGCACTGTACGGGGCAAATTTGTCTTAAGGAAAAAGAACCTAGCTAGTTCTTGCCTCGACTACATTTTTCCTATCAAACTTTTGTCCATTTAGTTCGTTCTCATTTCGAAATACACACACCCAAGTAACAATCTTAAGACAAAATTTAGTTGTATTTTCGAGATGGAGAAGAAGATATTCCACTCAAAATCCAAGAAGTTACGAAATCAAATTGGAGGAGAATGTCATTTTCGGACAGAACACAACGTCTATGTTCCAGCCCATTTTCGGAGGTGATACAGTCAGAATATGTAAAAGTATCATTTCACGAAAGTTGTAGAAAATCAAGTTGGATTTCCAAAACATGTTAAATCATCCAAATCGGAGTTCATATGGAGGAGTTATGACGAACATACGAAAGGGTGTCAGAACTGCCAACGCACCTTTTCATAAATAATGCAACCGTTTGTGAGGCGATGCAACCCCAACGTACCAACACGTCTCTAACAATTTATGGAGCACGAAATTTTAGTGAAAGAAGAATGAATCGAAGAATAATGATGGAATCATACCCGAAATATGACGAGGTTTTACATTATTCTCAATTCATGAATATTATTTAATATTTTTATGGTTCGATTGTAGGTGCAATTTTACACAGCACACATACTTCGACTTGGAGGCTTAATTTGATCATGATCCAATTCGAATCTAGAAAATTGTGAAAGACGAAAGTTGTAGGAAATTTCTTTGGCTATTCGGATCATATTGAATCAACAAAATCGGACATCGGATGCTAAAGATATGATTAAGTTTGTTTTTGTGCTGCCAAAAATGTCGATGCATTCCTTATGTGAGAATTTCAAATTCGTCCTAGAAGTTTGAAACGACACGTTTATAATTATTTCGGGTACGCATTTTCATTTATAAAATTATATCTCATGCAATTAAGTGATGATATTATATGATAAATAATATGGTATTATATGAGATAGAAACATATATGGTTATGTTGCATGATAAAGTTATGGCGTAATAATATTGCACTATATGTTATAATTGGCATGATAACATTATTTTTTAGAGCATGATAAATCTTGAATGTTTTTTTGCTTGAAGCATGTATAGATACTTTGAATGTTATTTCGATATGTTGAGATGCATGGATTAATCTTGATATATGCATGAGACTTTGCTGAAATTCGTATGCATAATTTAAATTCATTTAGTGCATAATATTATGAGGTGTTAGTATTGTCGCACACTTGAAATAACATATAATAATTTTTTTATATGTTATATTATTTATATGACGTCGATGTCTATGAGTACATAAAATTATAACCATATAATATATGTCTGTTGAAGCATAATTTTATTATACGTGATTAAATTATATGGATATTTATGCTATGATATAAATGATTTTCAGCATGAGAATAATGACGTTTTATCGGATAATGGTTTTTAAATGTGCAAATGAATTATTTATTCCATATTAATCTTGAAATGCTTATGTACGTGTAAGTACTTTGTATGCATAAATTATATGATGCATGTGAATATTTGGAATTATTTAATTATGATTATGTGCATATATGTATGTTTATAAGCTCATGATTAGTTCCAAATGTTATGTTATATCATAAATAATTCATGCTATTTGTGATATTATGCTTAAATTCAATATTTAGTATATTGAATATCAAATTGATGCACTTTTATCTTTAAAATGATAATTTTGTATGTGTGTGCAATTAGAGGCATATAATATTTGAAATTAATATTCAATCGAAACTCAAGAAGCTCAATTTCTGAAGGAATATTTGAGCAGTTGTTATCTAAAAGAACATCGAAGATGATCGATCTGTTGGATTGTCCTGACTTTTGGATATTGTATTCATAAGACATAAGTATACCTTATGAATGAATTTGATGATGTTGAACATCTGATCCATTTGTAAACAACAATGGTTGTTTTTTTCTTATGGAAAATGTCAAACAATCTCTATACGAGAGATTATTGTGGCTAGTTGCACCGTTGGATCAATATTTTATATGGTGAACGGTGGGAGTTTCTAAACTCTAGATTTGAATTGTGTACAAACTGTCACAATTTGATAAGAACTTTCTTGATTTGAGTATCTTGAGAAGTTTCTTATAATGTGTTCTATTAAGACAAAATAAACACAGTGTGTATAAAATTTAAATCACATTGGTGATTTAAAAGATTGTACAATTTATGAGAAAAGTATTTGTTACTTTTGTGGTACTTATACCAAAATTTTATTATGTATCTTTGTTAAGTAACAAAGACGAGGCCTTAAAAGCATTTAAATGAGAATGATCATGGTATATGAATAAAAATTGTTATTCAAAGTGATTGACGTGGATGATATGGAGTAGTTTTTGACAAGTCTTGTACTTACAAATTGCGAGTTCTTATCAACCACAGTTGAAAGTATTGAGAAATGAAATACTCGAACTGATAATGAGTAAGAAAGCCATGTTGATAATTCTAGAGTAAGCTAGAATTTGTGGGGGAGATTATGGCTCACCACTTTCTCATTCTTTTACCACATAAAGGTTTTAGACCATAGAAATGTGGGGGTGTTTTGACTAAGGTAAATGTACCAAAGTTGAACAAGTTCGAAGAGCCTAAGAATGTTGAAATGCATATTTATTGAATATGCGAATTACGAAAGTGATCAAGATAGTCATTCTTGATGCAAATAAATGTACGATCTTTGAAATTAAATGTGTTTGAAAAATTAGATTTTGACCCAAGTTTGACAAACAATTTAAGTGGATTTCATTTGATAAGTTGTGGAATAAAAATCTACACTTTGACTAGATAAATCTAGTGTGTTTAATTTCTCAAACTCGACTAGGGGTGAATGGGAAATTAATGTATATGGAGGTGAAAAGTCACCATCCCACATTGACAATGAGCTACACTTAAACACTACTAGAAAATTGTCATATAGTGACGGACAAATACGTCGCTAAATCACTAAAATCCGTCGCTACTTACGAATTAGCGACGGATAGTGTCCGTTGCTCACAAGATCGCTAAATGACGCGTCGCTAAAATTTAGCTACGACTATGCTCCATCTGTCGCTAAACATTAGCGATAGAATAACCCGTCACTAATAATAAAAAGTGACGTTGCTAACCTCTATCAATAAACGTAAAATATTCGTAGATGATCCATTACTAACTTATCACTAAATCCGTCGCTAACCGAAAGAAATATTCCGTTTAGAGAGGGGTTCACCAGTTACTAAATCCGTTGCAAAACTACATTAAATTTAATAAAAAAAATTAATAAATGAATCCCATATTTTGATAATGATTTGAATATATTATTTATAAATAAAAAAAGATGAGAATTAATTTTACATAAAACAATTCAACAAACAATAATACAAATATCATAAATTTTGATTACAGATTCTAGCAAAAGTTCGAAAGTATCGACATAGTTGAAATCAAAAATTTCAGTCATATCCTATAAAGCATCTTCATTTCCTTCGTAATCAATAGAGTCTCTATCTCCATCATCGTCGTCTTCTTTTTCGTCCTTTATCATTCTTGCAACTTCATTTCCTTCTCATTCAACTTGTGTTTAAGACTTTGTCATCTAAACAATGCAAAGATGAATGACTTCGCAAAGATGAATATTATTTCTAAAAGTTGAAGAAGAAATTTTGTTTTTGCTCTCACTTTCCTT